GACACGAGCATCTTTTGGAACACAGGTCTTTTCAGAAAGCTGCAAGTCAGGACTTTCTTCCTGGACCCAGAGGATCACTATAGGGGAGGCTTAAATGTCCATTGTGATCCTGGGAGACCTTGCCTACCCCTTAATGCCACGGCTAATGAACCATACATGGGGTGCCCTGATAGCAGCAGGGAGCAGCTCAACAACAGGCGGAGCAAGTGCAGATTGACTATTGGGTGTGCTTTTGGCTGTTTAAAGGCCCACTGGTGATGTCTGTATGGGAAGCTGGACACCATTCCCATGCTTATAGTTTCATGCTGTACCCTCCATAATATTTGTGAAGGGAAGAGTGAAAGCTTCACATAAGGTTGGGCTGCTGAAGCTCAGCACCCAGGGACTGAATTTGAACAGCCAAAGACCAGGTCTATCGGGATAGCACAGCCTGGTGCTATAAAGATCAGGGATGCCTTGAGGCAGCAATTTGATGCTGAAAGCCAGTAGTATCTGTTGCCATGCACGGAAATGCAAGGGTTGTGCTACAGGTTGGACCTTCTCATCTGGCATCCTCGGGACCCCACCAGACTAGGGCTCCAGCCTTGCCCCACTGTTTCCCCGAGCCCCCTGTGGCTTTCTAGCTGCCACCGGCACCGCTGCTGCCAGGGAGTGGCACAGCCAGCACTCTGGAGCTTCTTGGCTCCATAGCTGGGACTGGAGCTCTGCAACCAGTTGGCTCCATGGTGAGGGCTCTGTGGCCCCAAGTGTGTCTGGGGTCATAGCTCCTGGAACACAGCCAGAACTCCACAGCTGCTGCTGGGGTCACAGCTCCCTGGCTGTGGCTAAAGCTCCACAGCTGCCACTGGGGCTAGAACTCCCTGCCATGCTGCCCACCTCCCCACACTGGGCTTATAGCTGAGTCGCCGGTACCACCTACCGCACTCCTGTCCTGCCTCCAGACCTCCCTGTTCCTGGGCTCAGTGGTCCAGGAATGTCCATGGTTGTGCTGGACCATGGATGTTGCTGGATCACAGAGTCCCGGTTAAGGGAGGAACAACATTAGTAGGGGACTGGGATTGCTCTGTACAATGCACTGATTAAAAAGTGTCTGTTGCTTTGGTTGGCTATACTTGCTTCCATTTAAAGGAATAAAGATTGCTTGCAAACCACAAAAATTAATTTATTAAAAAATAACAGTAGTACAGAGACACACTGATGTATTCTGTCACAGGCCAACTGCTTAATACATTTGTACTTTGTGGGATGGAGGAAGGGAACAGGTGAGTTTACAGACTTGTATATGCCCAGGTATCATATACAGCCTGGCTGTTTGGACTACACTGGATGGATGGGGATGTGAGTTGAGGGCAGTGGTAGAAGTCTGCAGAGCGAGAACAGGAATATGGGACAGGACCAGAGGGCAGTCACAGCACTGTAATACACAGGGCATCCACACTAGCAGTGCTGTAGCTCTAGTGCCAAAAGTATTACACTTCTCAAGGTGATTTTCCTGGAGCACAGCATTTATAGAGTTTGTGCACATATAGGCTGTGTCTACACTGGCCCCTTCTTCGGAATAGCCATGCTAATTTAGAACTTTGGAATAGGGAAATGCACGGGGGATTTAAATATCCCCTGTGGGATTTAAATAAACATGTCCGCCGCTTTTTTTCCGGCTTGGGGAAAAGCCGGAAAAGAGCGTCCAGACTGGCGCGAGCCTCCGGAATAAAGCCCTATTCCGGAGGATCTCTTATTCCTACTTTAACGCTAGGAAAATAATGACAAAGGCAAGGCAGTTTGTAGTTTTCACCTGTTAGCAGGACAAGTCCTTTTCTTCATTGGGGGATAGGAGCTGTTCCATCAGAAACCCTGTTTCAATCACCTCTGCCCTCCCCAGTTGCCTTTTTAGTTGCCCAAACAGAGGGTTGCTAAGTGTTTTCCCTTTGTGCTGCAATTATTTGTTTATGTAACTGATCTTTCGCTGAACCCTCCTCATGAGTAGTTCAGTAACACTCCACCCAGTGTGACTTCATGTTTGCAGAGACCTGTCTTCTGTTCTCCTTCTACTGCAGTTCTGTCACCACCTTACCCTCCAGGCTTCTCAGCTGCTACTGCACTACATCTCCCCTACCCCACTGGTTCCCTGCTGCCTCTCTTCCTAAATCTTACTCTCCTTCCTTTTCCCAGGTTTCCCTTAAAATACTCATACAACTGACTCCCAGCTACTGTAGAATTTGGCCATTTTTTTTTCAGGATATTTGCAGCTCACCCTTCAACTTATATGTGTATTTTGTAGTCATTTCCCGTGGCAATTACAGAATGGCAGTTTATTAGAGAATGGATACAGAACTTTAGATATAAAGCAATTAGGGTTGAAAAATCCTGTTTAATTGATTAACCAGTTATACGTGATGTTTACCCAGTTAACTGATAAAAGGGAGACAAGCGGGGAGGTGGGGGCACTCCAGTCCAAGTGGGGCTGTAAAGGCCCCAGTGCAGCTGAGCTGGAGCGTGCCTCCCCCCTGCAGGTAGGGGATGCTTCAGATGGCCAGGGCAGCCACTGCCTGTGATATGCCTGGGCCAGCTGCAAATGGGCTGGGCTGGAGCAGCCCCTGCCTGCGACGAGGCAGGGAGCTGGCTCTAGTCCTCACTATTTAACCAGTTGACCTTTCACATCCCTAAAAGCAACATATTAATATGAGTTGCTAATATCACTCCCTTGAGATAACACTGTCATCTTATAGTATATAATAGTGTGGTATTTAAAGAAGGTACATTTTGAAAACGAAAATATGTAAAGATTCAATTCAGAAAAACATACATACATGCATGCATGTGGAATATTGAAAAGCAATTTTATGTCTGAAACAGTGTCAGAACTTGTAAGGAATGCCCGCATTGCAATTAAACACCCAGATGCCAGCTGACTCGGGCTTGTGGGGCTCAGAATAAGAGGTTGTTTACTTGTGGTGTAGACATTCAGGCTTGGGTTGCACCCAGAGTTCTGAGATGTTCCCATCTTGCAGTGTCCTAGAGTGCAGGATCCTCCCTAGTCTGATTGTCTACACAGCAGTTAAACAGCCCTTTTCACCAGTGTTTCTCAACCATTGGTGTGAGTACCCTTAGGGGTACTTGAGAGAAATCTGTGGGATATGGCAACACAACTGAAACTTGGAGAAAACTGAATTTTTGTTTTAAGTTTTACAGCACTTTATTATTTTTGTACTTTTTACACCCAAAAATTTAATCTCCTGCCCGGCTACGTTTAAGTTGTTTAAACAAATGTGTTGCAATAGTAGAAAAAAATTGTGTGCATCTGGAAACCTGTAGGTACTGGGGGTATTTACAGTTTTTTTTTAAAGGGGGTACTTAAAAAAATAAAATAAAAAAAAGATTGAGATACACTGCTTTAGACTGTGTTCCATGAGCCCAAGTCAGCTGTCACTGGCCAACCAAAAGTTTGTAATTGCTATATTTTAAAAATATAGTTCTAGGCTGATGTATTAAGTTGTCAGCCTTGAAAATGTTAGATGGCAGAACTGAAATAGCCAGAAGTAGTTATACAGTGCTGTGGCTTCAGGCCTACAGTGGTAACCTTGGGTGTGTCTAGACTACAGGGTTTTGTTGACAAAAGTGGACTTTTGTCGACAAAACTATACCTGCCTCCACACTACCGCTGAGTTCTGTCGACAGAATTCAGCAGTTTTGTCGACGCTGGTAAACCTCATTTTACGAGGCATAACGCCTTCTGTCGACAGAGTTTCTTTGCGTCTACACTACCATGTCGACAAAGCAGCTTGCTTTGTCGACAGAACTCAATGTAGTCTAGACGCTCTCTGTCGACAGAAGCCTGTAGTCTAGATGTACCCCTTGTGACCTGGGATTCCTGCGGTTTTTAGGTAGAAAAGTAGTCTCATTTGAGCTCAGTGGAAATATTCGCATATGTAAAGATTACAGGCTTGGATCTTTGATCTGTTTTACTGAATCTTTAATTAACTTAGAGGAGTTATACATACTCAGAGACGTAGGCCACGTGTCTACTTATTGGAGGATCAATGCTCTGGTGATTGATCTTCTGGAGTTTGATTTAGCAAGTTTAATACACACCCGCTAAATTGAACACGGAGAGTGCCCTGGTTGGTGCTGGTACTGGTGGAAGTGTTTCTCTCATCGACCTCGTGTTTTGGAGGTAACACCAACTATGTTGTTGTAGTTGTGTACTTTAAGCCAACTTTCTGGGTATAGTGTAAACCTGGCCTTAGTAAAAGCTTCCATCCTTCTCACAGCTCCATACAGAACATCCCATGTACAGCACCACTGACTTCACTGAGGCTGCACGTGGATGCAAGTATGTGCCTGCATAGAGCTGATTCTCAGATTGAAGTATGCATGTATGTGTAATTATGTTTCAGAGGTGTATTTTCTACATAGATGTAGGTGCATTGGGAAATATTTTCTAAATTTGATCTTGGATTATAAATGTTACAGCAAGTATTGGAAGTTTATTTATGTTCTGAGCTTTCATTTCTGCACATTTTTATTTTTGTTTTGTGCTTTAATTTCATATTAGTCCAGATGCACACTGTCTGCAAAAACTACATCTGTCAATTATGGATTTTTATTTTACTGAGATATTAATCTAGATGTTTTTAAAAAGTTGAGTCAAATGAAGAGTCAGTGGGTTAGTCAAGAGTCATTTGATCTATGCTAATGGAAATATTGTGTAACTCCTGCAGCTTTAAACATTTTGTGACATTTCAGACTTGGGGAATTGAAGCAAATGGCATGCAAGTGGAAGCAAACAGTTTCTGAGATTAAAAACTGACCTATGTAAAGAAGGCTTCATAGAAGGGAAAACAACAATAAAGGAAAATGAGGGTATTTTAAAAATGTGATGCAGTATATACTTACCTGAGACAGATTCTTGCCTGGACTTGCTTGTCATCAGACCAACAAAGGGCATAATTTTAGTATTGAAGTACTGCGATTATAAGGAATATTTCTGATGTCTCTGATAGTTGGTGTGGATGACTACAGCTCAGAGTCTGATGTGATTATTATACCTTCAGCCCTGGACTTTGTCTCACAAGATGAAATGTTGACGCCTTTGGGAAGACTGGACAAGTACGCTGCAAGTGAGAACATATTTAACAGGTACGCTTTTTAAATGTTCCGTTTCTGTTACAGAACAAGATGCATATTGTAAACTAATCTGATTTAGGTCTCTGACTACAGTTAACCAGTGTGACACATAAGTGATTTAATTTCTTTATAAAATACATTGTTAGGTTAAAATGCATACATTGATCTCCTCCTGCCAAAACCCAACAAGTATTTCTTACCTATTTAAGTGACCATAATTCTCAGAGATGCTCAGTACTTTACATAAAATGGACCATATCCGAATAGGTTCCTATGGATGTTTCCCCTCCCATAAACAATCACGTGGCAGTGCATGTGCAAGGCTGTCATGACTTATGTGCAAAAGTAATACAAGTTGGATCTCCCTGGTTTAGCACCCTGGGGACCTGACTGGTCCCAGATGAGGGATTTTGCCAGAGCAGAGGATGTCATTTTTGGACCCCAGACAAGCCATTGTTGCTGTGGTTCTGCCAGTCAGCCTGGTGCTGGGGCTCTAGGCAGCCATGTGCACTGCATTCTGAGGCTCCAGCTATCTGTGCACGCCACACTGGGGCTCCTTGGGCAGCCACACATGTGCTGGGGCTCCCAGACCCGCTGGATAGCCACATACCAGGTCTCACAACCTGCTGGGCAGTCCTGCTGCCACACGCTGGGCAACCCCACTGTCAGCTCCCTGTGGGCAGCCCATTGCCTTGCCGGCCCCACAGGGATCCTTACTGCTGGCCCTGTAACATCCATACCGGGTCCCACCGCCTGGGCGGCTTTGCTCGGGTCTCCCTGGTCTGCTGGGGGGGAGGGGGCGCAGCTAGTGCGCCCTCCCCCCCCCCCAGCAAGTCCTGCTGCCACACGCTGGGCAACCCCACTGTCAGCTCCCTGTGGGCAGCCCATTGCCTTGCCGGCCCCACAGGGATCCTTACTGCTGGCCCTGTAACATCCATACCGGGTCCCACCGCCTGGGCGGCTTTGCTCGGGTCTCCCTGGTCTGCTGGGGGGGAGGGGGCGCAGCTAGTGCGCCCTCCCCCCCCCCCAGCAGACCAGGCTTTTGTTGCGGGACGCCTCGGGTAGAGCAGCTGGGGTGCTGCCGGGTTGGTCCTGTGGGAACCTACCGGGCAGCGCCCCAGCTGTTCTGTCCCAGGCTCCAGATTCAGCAGCTGTTGAAACTGATCAGG